GAGTGCAGCTTACTTTTCTTTCATGAGTTTTTGTTCGTTTTATTTCTGCCTTGAAAGATAATTATGTGAGCGTCACAAGGTCTTACTCTAGGTGTCTCAAGATCAGGCTTAGAAAAGAGCCTTATGATACCAACGGACAACTGACTGGGTTCATCCTTTCAAAACGTGCTCAGATAGCCAGGGAGCAGCTCCAGTGGCCTTCTGATAAAGGTTAGCCACGACCCATCAAAAAATATTTTCTAAAGACAAAGCAAGACTTAGGATTCTTGTGAAGAAGACCTTAAAAATGCTCCATGCTGGGTAACTAAGAAGCTGGCTGCATCCCTATTACCTGCAGGAGCCTCGGAGTCAATGGCATCTCTCTAAAAAAGCTCTGCTGAATCACTCAGAGGCCCTCAAGTCTGCCAGCTTGGCCAGGTTCTCCATCACGTGCTGGGTGAAGGCCAGCTTCCCCACTTCTGAAAACGCCTCCCACAAGGCATATTTCTAAATACACACATCACAAAATTGACAAAGGACAAAATTCCTGCCTCAACTTTTCTTCTGAGATTAACCCCAAGCTCACCCTTCCATAAAAGAGGGAAAAAGTTGTTTTTTGAGTTTTAGGTCACTGAAAAGCCATGAGCTCCATGGTAGTTCTTCCTTAGGCACACACTTTACACTTTTACTTTTATTTCCCTTCCAAACAGCATGTTTCTTGTAGACTTACAAAAAGCTATTAGACTATGGTCAGAAGTAACATTAATATAAATTTTTTTCCTTCACTAAAAATTACTTTTTCTTTTAAATTTTTAAAAAATCTTTTATTTTTTCTTAAATTTTTGTACTTAAAAGATAATAAAATCCACCAAATCAAAACAGAACAAAGCCAATCAAAACCAACCAGCAAAACTGGTGCAGAACTTCAAAGCAGGATACTAGGAAAACAACAGTAGCTAACATATTTTGTTATCTTCACAATAGTTGTCCATTCCATCCGGTATAGCAAAATCAAACCAAAAAAACCCAAAACAAACAAAACCAGAATAAAACAAATTAAAATAGAACACTGAATAAAGCAAAGCAATTAATCAGGACAAAACAAAATAGTGAGAATAATAGTGGATTTCAAAGACAAGACAGAAGGAAATTCTCCATATTTGCTATATTACATACTATCATCCTCCCAATAGATGCTCAGACAGCTGGACCCAGGCCTGCACAATCAACTAAACAATACAAGTATAGTTGTTTTTTGTACCTGACTTGCTATCAACTCAGCCTGCCCTCCAAACCAGCTGGTTGTTTAGGGATGAGAGGGTACGTGGGTTCATTCTCAGCATGCGCCCGCCTGCCCATAGGCTCCCAGGAGGAGCTATTTGACTTTTTTTTTTCCTGGACTGCCGCATGGCTTGCATGGCTTACCAGAAAGCCTAGCTAGTTGGCTTCCTTTTAAAATCCTTTAATGAGATGATACTTCTAAAGCATGAACCCATCTAATGCTGTAACTTCTGTCTTTGCTTTTCATTTGGAGAGGCAATGTGCACATCATGACTCATGATCATCATGTCCCACCTAAAAAGCTGTTACTAGTCTTGAAATGTCTAATGTAGGCAGGCTTAAGGTCCTTATCTGGGAAAAACATACCCCTAAGAAACTGGCCATCATTCATCATTTGTGAGGAAAAAAACAATAAATATACCCTTTCATAAAATATATTTTATCATGTGGTTCCATAAAAAAGGAGGGGGATAACCTTATTGCAAAACATGTCTATAAAGTTTGAAAAGAAGTCCAGTTTTTAATAAGGAGTTGATTAAGAGCTATATTAATCAGTCTACAGGTGGATAGATATAATGGTCCTTCAATAATTTGTTCTTTTTTCCTTTTCTTCACACAACGTCAAGATTTCCCAACATTTCTGGGAAAATACTCCCACTAATGGTTCAGTCCCAAAAATCAAGACACATGAGTCTTCTATCCTACATTCTATGTGTTCCTAGCTGACCCTCACATCGGGTCCATTCCAGTTTTAGAACTGACAACTGTACAAAACTTGGATTAGAGAAAAATATTTTAAAATGACTAAAATGTTTACTTTTAGGGCAGCAAAGAGAAATGGAAACTTCTAGCATATTCCAAAAAGTAAAGATGCTAATGGTCTCTTGCAGTAACCAACACATCAAATAGCCCAGGCCATTTTAGAGAAACATTTCAGTCCATTCCAAACAGAAAAGAATGCTTACCTTACTGAAATGGGAAGCCATTCTGTCTCCACCTGCCTATGAAAATGAATGCCTCAGAAGCAACCTTTCCAAGTTCCAGCTTTTGTTTATCTAGGATATTCAGCTTCTCCAAGCAAAATTGCAAACTAGAGGCAAAGTGAACTAAATCTCACTTTTAAATATATCTTTCATAACACAACATAATGTTGCGGTGTACAATGTGAAAATAATATGAATTAAAGGTACCACTATGTGGCTTAGGTGGGTATGCACTGTCTCATGCATACATTTTTTTAAAATTCTTTCACCTGTTGGATAATGTACGCACTATTCAGCAAAGAGTGAATTCTCCAGATCCCAGAAGTTTCCTAAAACTGAGTACAGACTGCTTCCACCAAACACACTTCAACACTTTTATATAATCTATTTTCTTTATTAAAGGCTCATCTCACTGCAGTTGTGGTGCACACTCAGCTAACAGTATAGAGTCTTCTGCTCTTGAATGGACAACTACCTGGCCTTAAGTTCTCATTTGTTGTGAAAACAGCATACACCGTGAAGGCAGGCCTCATTTTCTGACTTTCACGCACTTCCTGATTATGTAAACTCTGGCCCTCCATGAAAAAAGTGCTAATTCTAAGGCCTGTACTTCAATCTAACCCTCAGAGGTTTGGTCCTCCCTGCCCCTGTTCCAGAGAGAGATCTCCAGGTTGGCTATAGCAGAATTTGGGGGCCTTGTTAGAAATGCACATTCCCAGGCTCCAGCCCAGGACACACTAACTTTGAATCTGTGGTCCCCCTTGTAGATGACTGATGCCTCAAGTTTAAAAACCACAGTACTAGCCATCAAACCATGTATGTACCTTCAGAGACTGCAGGTGGCACTAAAGTCCAGCTAGACACAGTGAAGGAAGGAATCCTCAGCTTTAACTGTTACAGAACTCTTGCCTAACCACATAGTTAGGCTGCTCATTCTACCCAAGGTTTAAAAGGTGACAGAATGTGTCAGCTTTGATTAGGAACTGGGCTGAACTTTTTCTCACCACTCCAGTACACATAATGAACCTACAATTTTCAGGATGCATTCAATATTAATTCCTTTGAGGGTTTTGTGTTTCATACAATTAATACACAAACATGCTTTTAAGAATAAAGATATCACTATTGATTAAAGAGAAAATAAAAAACTCAAATGATCATCAGCTAATGTATATATATGAATAACAATGCATTTGATCCCAAAGAATAATCAAGAGTTCCCACTCTGAAAATCTAATTGAACTGATTTGACAAAAAAGGTTGCTTTGTTTTGTTTTGTAATGAAAAGCATATAATACAGCTAGCCCTTTGCTACTCTTCCAAAATCCTGAATTTGCATTAGCTGCTTTACCACCTAAACATTCTGGTGGTAGATGTGGAGCAACTAGAACTCTCATGCACTATTGGTGGGAATGCACAGTAATTGGTACAACCACTTTAGAAAATCATGTAGTGGTAGTTACTAAAGTTAAATATACAAACAGGACCAGCCCGTTCATGTCCTACTCCATTCCCTTGAGAAATGAGCGCTTGAGTCATCAAAAGCTTCAAACAAAAAATACAGAACTGTAACTCAAGTGACCAATCCGAAACAATTCAATGCCATCCTCAGGAGAGGAGAGAAAACACTATGGATATTCAAACAATGAACTGAAAGCAACAATGAAAATACAACCGATCAATAATCAAATCACTACTTCACAAAACATAGACCAGTCCAACAGATAAGATGCTAACTGAAACAATCCAGACACAGGGGTCTCCGAACAGGCAAAACAGGCCGAACAGAGGTCAGCAGAGCAACAATTTCACTCTGGAGATCTAGAGGAAGTATGAGGAACTGCAAGGAAGTTCTACTTCTTGACTCTGACACAATATGTGAAAAGCTGAATGAGCTACACACTTAAAATCCATTTTTTCATGCATATGTAACTTCTTACAAAAAGAGGGTGCTAAGCAAGTATGCAAAATATTGAGATTGTCATGCAAAATTTTTGAATTAATATTACAAAAATCTGGAACACCAAATAAACTATGGATCAGAATATAAATTATATATCAGAGTATTCAGCATTTTCTGGATTAAAGCTCAAAGCTAAATACAATAAGCTGGGTGTTTCTCTTCTTTTCAGTGTCACAGTCAGATGTATCATCTATAAAATGGCCCGCCATCTGGCTTGCACACACCTAGCCCTTAACAGCACCACTCAGGTGGCACTGACTGTCCACTGTCCCACCCGGTCTGTCTGTCTCCCCGCACGCCCTGGACCGGTGGGTACCACCCACCAGGAGGCGGAAGGCCTGGCTTTGGCATCCTGCGGACATTATCTTCCAGGGCTTTGGACCAGCCTTGGTCTAAGCGCCACTCCTATGTATCGGCACTCATGCCTTGCCAGTGCAGGCTGGTCCCAGGGCGGGGGCCATGTTAACTCAGAGCGGTCTCCGCAGCCATTTAGGGTCTACAGGGTCCTTGGTGCTGATCCAGTAGCATCTCTGATACTGGAAGCGCTGCCGAAAGGGGGACAAAACTCTGTGGGCTCCCCCAGCGCACCCGACACCCTAGCGGGTCAGAGCCGGACCCTTCCCGCGCTTCCGGGTTTGGATCCGCAGCCTGGCTAGACACGTGACCAGACGCGAGTCCGGCGGCGGAGCGCGAGCAGGCCCAGGGCCGCGGCCGGTGCAGCGCTGTGCGTGGAGCCCCCGGCGCCGTCCCTCCCGCAGCTACGCTCTCGCGGCCTGCCCGGCGGCCATGTCTACCTGGAAGCAGGAACACGTGCTGCCGAGCGCACTCGCCGTCCGCGCCCCCCGCGCCCGCGGCCATGCTGCCCTCCTGCTTGGGCTGCGCGCGGCGCCAGGCTCCCGGCCTCCGGGGCTCCGCGCGGCGCAGGGCCAAGATGGCGCGGCCGGGCTGTTCCGGGTGGCGCGGCGCGCTGGGACCTGGCTGGGAGGGGGCGCTCTCGGAGCGCAGTCAGTTTTGTTTCCGGGACCAGCCCGCGCTGGGGTAACGGTTTTAAATTTAGCGCCAGGCGGAGTCCCTGGTTTGCCCGCGCGGCGCCGTTGGCGGGGGCAGGGACTCGGCCACCCCCCTGCGCCTCCAGGCCGTGGTGGATGCTCGCCGTGCGCCCCTGGGTGGGTCCCCGTGAGGTGGTGGCGGGTCGTGGCGTCGGTATGGCGCTTGGCCGGACACCCCGGCGCCCCTGCGAAGCGGTGGCGTGGCGCGGGCCCCTGGGATGTTAGCCCGGGAGGACGGAGGTCGCCCACAGCCGTCCGTGGACCGGACTGGCAAACTCCCCTGACCCAGGGCCTGGCAAAGCACACAGCTGTCACATCGGACACTAAATCGTGTGTTGTATCTGGATCTATCCCAGCCATCGGTTACACGAAGCATTGGAGTTAAGGTCATACAGTGCGGGTCGTGGGCATAATGCCTCCTACTGTAGAACTCAGATTAGGTTTGATCTTTGTCATGAAAAGAGATACAAAATTTGGGGCCCAAAATAGGAATTTATTATTTTGGACAGCTCTGTTATGAGTTTAAAATTGACGCATTTGAAAAGTGATATTTACAAAGTTAGAGTCATGAACTTTGGGGAAACGAGTTAAACTTTTAAGAGTAAACATTTTATTGAAAATGTTTCATAATTTTTTAAAAAAGAAAAACTGCATTTATACTTTAAAATATCTCTCCCCTGCCTCCAATTCCCAACACTTATTACTTGTCTGTTTTTCAGGAATTTCCACATGCAAAAGTTTATGTATGTTGTGTTTTGCACAAGTGGTAGAATAGTAATACACTTTTCTGAGTGTTTCTAATTTTTTTGATCATGAAGATAGTTGAACTCTGCAGCTCTCTATCTGTCTCAGCCTTTTGAAAACATTTTAAACTTAGGTTGTGTCTCTAATGGGGTGAAATTGATATGGGGAATGAAAGTCTTGACCTATTATGTCCAGTTAAGAGTTGCTGTTCTCTAAAATTGAAGAGTGAAATTTTGGAACAACGGAGGTTAAAAGTGGAATATATTTATTTAGAGAAAGAAAGCTTTTGTATAAGACAGAAGGGGTCCTGAGTGGGTTGCCAAAAACTTGTCTTTTTATGGGACTTTTTAGAGTAAAATGAGGTTAGATGGGTCAAAGGTTGGAAAAAGTGGGAACTTGCAAGGTGGGCGTAAGGCAGGACAGAACTGTGGTTAACCAATAAGATTAATTGCTCAGGTAAAATTGATTAAATTAGGAGCAAATGAGGAAGCAAGTCACATAGTAAGAGGTAGTGCTTAACAGCAGGGACTCTTCCTGGAGGAGGGTGGGATGCAGACTTTGACTTCCTCAGGGTGATAGAGAACTATTTGGACTGTCAATCCTTATGGTATGGTTGTAGTTGCTTTGCCTTTTGCCTTGAGATCTGGCCTACAGCAGGAGGTGATTGTCTCCTCCAAGGCTGCAAGGTATCTGAACTTCACTGGCTCCTTTGAGGGCCTAACCCTGTCTGACTGCCTATAATATTTCTAACTAACTCAGCTGCCTATAGCAAAATGAACGCTGTTTAAATTGACCTCAGAACACAGAAGTGGAGAGGAGACCTTTCTAGCTGAGGAGGAGCACCCCAGTGCCTAGCCTGAGGCAGGCAGCAGATTGGTACTGCTCTGAGTGTCCCCTTTCTCAACATTGTACTCGGATAAAAGCTATGGTGTGTAATCCAAATCTCCAGGCATACCACAGTGGTTACTAACAGCTACAAGAAACATGTTTCCTACAGTTCCCTTGCACTGTCTTGCGTAGATATTACCATTTACAACTCAAAAATTATTTTCTAACATTTTCCAGAAATGATTTATTTAATTCTTCAGAAACTATTTTATATGTACACCATATAACAATGTCTAATCTATCTTCTGAAGAGAAGATACACAGGCACTATGGACTTCATTAGGTGCAAAAGCAGCCTCTTACATGTTGGAACATTTCAGACAGGGAATATTTATTGGTTATGTTCCAAGTACATATTCCTCTTGCCTTAGCAAGCCAACTCTGCAGTTTATTCACTAGACTGGGTAGCTCCAGAAAAGAAAAAAAAAGTCGATAAGTACGTGGATTTTGTTACTTTTCTCTCTTAGTTTTGTTGTAAAACACCCAATCCCAAGAGTTATCTATATGTCTGTTCCATGTTGGATACATAAATTCAACAGAAGCACATGTTTTGCTGATTTTTCCCCCCTAGGTGGATTCCTAGGAATTAGTGCAAGTTTTTAACTGTTGTCTCATAGAGCAGAATTGATATAGGGGAATGAAACTCCTGACCTACTATATGTCCAGTACGAGTTTGTGTTCTCTAAAATGGAAGAATGAATTTCAGGAACAATGGAGGTTAACAGTGGAATATATTTTATTGAGAGAAAGAAAGCTTCTGTCTGCGAGACAGAAAAGGTCCCAAGCGGGTTGCCAAAGATTCTGTATTTTCTCTGGATTTTTATTGAGTAAAATCATGAGGTGAGGTGGGTCTAAAGTTGGGGAAAACTGGGAACTCGCAAGGCAGATGGACATGAGATGGGACAGAACTAGTTGTTCAGATAAAATTGACCAAAACAGGGACAAATGGGGAAGTGAGTTATATAGCAAACAAGGGAACATTCTTTATGGATCCGTGACTCTTCCTACAGGTGGTTGGGATGGTGACTCCTGGCTTCTCAAGGTGATCAGACTTAATCGCTAAGGAATATACTTAAGGGTGTGGTTGCATTTGTTTTGCCTTCTGTTTTGATATCTGGCCCACAGCAAGAGGTGTGTCCCTCCAAGGTAAACAGACATCTGGTCCTCTACCGGCTTTTTCCAGAGCCTAGCCCTGTCTGACTGCCTATAATATTTCTAACTAGCTCAGCTGCCTGTAATAGAATTAGAAGATTCTATGAGGTTCTAGGGCAAGCAGAATAGAGAACAGCTGCTTTTTTAAAAAGATAGTTTTTTATAAACATGAGAAAAACCTAAAAGTGCAATATGAGTGAGTCTCTTGTACATTTGTACTTGACACTTGGTCAATTTTCAATTTCTCTCCCTTTTCTCCTCTCTCCCTCTTCCGGATCTGGCCCAATATGAATAAATTCAACAATATTTACTGACTATTCTGTGCCAGACACTGTTCTGGTTGCTTGGGTTATCATCAGTAAGTAAAACATACAAAAATACACACCCTCTTGGAATTACCTCCAAAAGAAGAAGACAAACAAGCAGTCCACAACCATATAAAAATTAAAATCTGTAGTATGATAGAAGTGGCTAGTGCTATGAAAGAAAGGAATACTGGATGGAAAGGCGCTTTGTGGCTAAGGCAGAGTAGCAAATTTAAATGAAGTGGTTAGGGTGTTGAGACACAGTTATAATACCGAAATGCATTCATGAAATGGTAAATTTATAGAAATTTCTAGAGGACTCTGACCACATTGCTGTTCTGCTATCTCTAGTAAAGTGACCCTGACATCAGAGCAATTGCCTATACCTTAAGACACCTTGAACTGACCTGTGCTCATTCAGTAAAAGCTCTCTCTCCTGAACGTTGCTATATTATGGTAATATCCTTATATCACTCTCATGCAGTCAAGGCTCTTTCTGGAACAATTTCTATATTATGGAAATGCCCTTAAGTATACTCATTCTGTAAAAGCCCTTGGTTCCTGGAATGTGTCTATTCTATTGCTTCAAGAGTAGCCTGTCTGTCAATATATGATTCAATGTATGTAGCCAATCATGTAACAGTTGGTCACTTGATTTGTACCTACCACTTCTATATAAACTAAACTTCCTGATTTCAGGTTGCTTGGAAGGAATTATCTTTGCAACAGTCCACTGGCAGGAACTCCCAGCAGTCCGCCAAAAAGATTAAATTAAATGCTGTCTTCTTATCTCCTTGGTGCAAAGAGTCTTCCTTTTGGTTTGGCTTGGCTTGGCTTGGGAAATTTCCCACAACAAGGGTAGGCCTCATAAAGAAGGTAACACTTGAGTGAGGATTTGAAGGCAGATAAGTAGTTAGGTATATGCAGATTCAAGGGAAGGGTGTTCCAAACAGAGGGAATAACGGTGCAAGTATCTATAGATAAGCTTTCATTTGCGTGTTTGAGGTCAGCAAGGGAAAGGAGAGTAGTAGAAGACCAAGGACCTTGCACTCTACTGATAGTACACAAATGGGACCCACCGAAGTAAGAAAGAAAAGGAAGCCCAAAGCTTCCCATTTCTGACAGCCATAGGGTATGCGATCTGTAGCTGTCAGCCCCTCTCTTTCACTACCCTGGGGGTGCTCAGGCATCTTTCTGCCAGCCCTCTCTGCTGTTTCTTGGACAGTCACCTTCCAGGTCTTGCGGCTCCTCAGGCCCTGATCAGAGCTGCTGTCAGCAGTCAGCCACTATTCCTCCCCTAACCACTGCTGTGCTGTTCCTCTGAGGAATGGCCAGAAATTTGCACCTGTTTGGAAATAGATCAGAGAGGGACTGGAACACATTGCTGCTGCTACCCCCAAACTCCCCAAACCCCAGTGAGATACAATCAACACAGTCACTTCTGGACATTCCTCCAAAGTAAGGGTAGCCACAATTTCAACCCTACCATTTTCATAGAAAGGGAACTGTCACTGAAGCAGCCACTTCTCTTAAAGTTATGTGAACTCTCACCATGACACTTAAAGCTGTTTTAGATTCCTTGTGGCCACTTGAGGATATACTTGCCTTGGTTACTGCAGGCTTCAGACATCAATATAACCTAGATGACTCTGACCTGCAGCCACTCCAGATAATTGAATAGTCTCTAGATAACTCCACCTCCTCTGCCACTACTACCCTACACCAAATAAATCTGCAAAATGCATGAAACTGTACACATATGGGATGCTTCTACTCTGTATAAACAGTTTTCCCTCACATTCCTTATGTCAGCATTAACTTCCTACATTGCA